TCAATTAAACAACCTAAATGATAACTCTTTTATGACATTAATTCATATAATATCCTACAATTTCTTAAATCAAACTGTATTCCAAAATATAACTTAAAAAAGTACAGCATAAAACATACATATCACCTCTAGTAATCATATCCACACAAGTTTGTATATGCACAAAATCTGAGTCTCATCTACCATGTATTCAATTGTGAAAGCAGAATAATATAGCATATTTTTATTAGTTCAAAGCTTCCAAGAAAATTACATTTCGACATTAAATGACCCATAAGGAATTGGTGTGCTGTTAAACAAATCAACTAACAAAATATAGAATCCGAACAAAAGCTGAAAAACGAGACAAAGTGGGAAAGCTTTTTATTGACAACGCGTTGCGCCTACGTTATGTAGACGTCTTATTAGTTATGTGATGATGGAGATGATTGCTGTCTAAAATGTGATGACTCTTTCAAACAATTTGCTGTAACTCTTTTAATTCTGATCACCCTCTTCCTTACCCAGTATATTAACTTGTTCAGCCCTTTAAGGAAAATTTTTTTCTAGATCATTCTATTTTATTTTTGCTATTTCTTCCTTTTTTTCCTTTCTTTTCTTTCACTCTTCCCCCCCTCCCTCCCTCGCTCTCCCCTCCCCTCTCTCTCTTAATTTTTTTCTCTTTTCATTTTTCTTTTTTCCTTTCCCCTTTTTTTTCTATATGTCTGAACGGATTTATTACATTTCTAAAAAAAACAAACTATCGGTCAGAAGAGATGAATATAAAAATATTTATGAAATAAATTATAACCGTTAGGGATTTTTAAGGTTTATATCTATCTATCTATCTATCTATATATATATATATATATATATATATATATATTATTTGCAGCATCCTTCCAGGTGATTGACGTTTAATTAATCGTACATTGTTCAATTAGTTATCAATTAGTAAAGGAATAAGTTAACTCTTTATTCCAGCCGTAGATTTGCACAGTTTGAAGCATATGTGACATTGGAAGTGAACTTGAAGAGGTACACACACAGTCATACAGACACGCACACACACCCATATATATATATATATATATATATATATATATATATATATATATATATATATATATATATGTGTGCCTGACATGTAGTTAAATAGCTGAATTATGATCTGAGATTTTCTCTGTATAATGTTCAATCTTTCACTTTTGATCAATGGCTTTAAGTTCGTGGACAAAGGAGTCTATAATGAGAAATAAATATTTGTTGTCTAAAATGATGCTTTCTCGAGGGAGTCAGTGTGCTGTCCCTGTATTTTTGTTGAGGGTGGTGATGGCAAACTCAGTGGCTATGCCGGGCTGTACAAATCCTGCCATGAGCTGCACATATTCTGCCCCGGGCGGTGTCGTTTATAAGGTTTTTCACTTCATCTTTATTGTTATTAATAAAAGCATTATTTTGAATTACTATAAAAATATAACTACATTATTTAAATATTCCGTATTTTAATTTCATTTTAATTAGATTCAACTGAAAAAGATTTAAATATTTAGATAAGTGAAAATCATTAGTTGTTGAATTAATTTTTAATATTATGATAAAAAAAGTTACAAAATTATTTAAATACATAAATATAGTCTGTTTTCGAAATTTAATAGTATTAGATAGGTTCGCCTATTGTCCGGTTCACACTCCTCACCGGTCTTTTGAACAGAAGTAGAGATTTTTCCCTTGTTTCCTGTTGAGTTTCCGGTTCCTTCTTAAGCCTACTTCAACTCTATACTTCTAACGTCCCTGCTTAAACTTTGAAATTTTACTTAATATTTATTTATTATTTAGGAGTATATGTTTATCCCGTTTAAGATTGGATTTCCAGTTCCTTCCAAGGTTTTTTTTTTCATTGTCTTTCACTCCCAGTAGCATCTTGCGTCTTAGTGGCATTATCGTCTTGCTTGGGGTGACTTGATTAAAACAAATAATATGTTTTATTATTAATACAAAGAACTTCTATTGTAGGTATTGGCAAGCTTTTTCGAGCACTGTGACGCATGAGGTATAGTTCATCATAATGCTGATCGCACTACTAAAAATTTCAAGCTGATTTTTTATTGACGATACCGCAGCCATTTCCACCACAGAAGATCGTACGCGTCAGCAACTGTTTTAGAAATGAGGAAAATTCGATTTTTTTCTTTGGAGAAAAGATTATTTTTATAATTAAAAACCTGAAGTATTGGTATAATATTATCAGTGATGACAAGTGTGATTAAAGTACACTACTACGTGTGGTTTGTTTCTAATTTATTCATTTGAGTATGCTAACATTTTTTAAGTATATCTCTTCTCCAGAGAAAAATATATATATATGAAATTTACCTGTTTCTACAGCGAATAACATGTACACGTATGAGGATATTTACACGTATAAGGATCTTTACACATATGAGGATCTTTACACGTATAAGGATCTTTACACATATGAGGATCTTTACACGTAGGAGGATCTTTACACATATGAGGATCTTTACACATATGAAGATCTTTACACATATGAGGATCTTTACACGTATAAGGATCTTTACACATATGAGGATCTTTACACGTAGGAGGATCTTTACACGTATGAGGATCTTTACACATATAAGGATCTTTACACATATGAGGATCTTTACACGTATAAGGATCTTTACACATATGAGGATCTTTACACGTAGGAGGATCTTTACACATATGAGGATCTTTACACATATGAAGATCTTTACACATATGAGGATCTTTACACGTATAAGGATCTTTACACATATGAGGATCTTTACACGTAGGAGGATCTTTACACGTATGAGGATCTTTACATATAAGATCTTTACACATGAGGATCTTTACACGTATAAGGATCTTTTACACATATGAGGATCTTTACACGTAGGAGGATCTTTACACATATGAGGATCTTTACATATGAAGATCTTTACATATGAGGATCTTTACACGTATAAGGATCTTTACATATGAGGATCTTTACACGTAGGAGGATCTTTACACGTATGAGGATCTTTACACATATAAGGATCTTTACACATATGAGGATCTTTACACGTATACGGATCTTTACACATATGAAGATCTTTACACATATGAAGATCTTTACACATTTGAGAATCTTTACACGTATGAGGATCTTTAGCGAAAATCGCCAGCAGTTTTTAAAATGATTAAAAAGGTTACAAAATTCACGAAACATTGTACTTGACAAAATCCAAAGAATCTCTAATGTAATCGATCCTAATTTGGCATCTCGACCCCGGTCACTTTCTTACCGACATGGCTTGGCTTCCTTCTGCCTTTTTGTTGTGGTACGATCCACCTAATTTACATAGTGGAGTACCGACCATATAAATATGGATTGGTACCGGGAAGACGGGGGAGGAAGAAGAGATCCAATCCAGAGACTCTGCCCGACTGCGACTAAGTTAACCCATTCTACAGGAACGGTCTTCCCAAGAATATACCAAAACTATCTGTAAATATTGTGTACACGTTCTTGTGTCAATACATTTTGTTTAAGTACAATTTGTGTTGTATTATTATTATTCCATGCTTTATTCAAGTTTCATCACTTTTCTATAAATATTTTCATGGCAAGTGCTCTGATGAACTTTTTCCCTGCTACCCTGATGAGACGAATTTAAGCGTGCTACTATATTGGCATATAGGTCCCACCTGTTTACTGTTGAAACAGCTAAATGCAACCACCATTTATACGCGAACAGTTTCTTTTCTCGCACTAACCTTCCGTTTACCCCCTCTCCTGGTAACTACCTTCTTCAAAAATTTATATGCAATATCAATCGCCATTTATCTTTTTGAATCCCATTTATCTTTTGTCCTTTCTTCAATCCTTCCTTTTATTTCACTTTCACTCCCTGTAAGCTCCTGTGTACTAGTGTTATTTCCAACTTGCTTGGGGCGAAATGATTAAAAAAAAACTTAACCATTGTTTATGCATGTCGTTATGTATGGAAGAATGTCAGTCAACAATTGAGAACGAAAAGAAAGCAACAAAATTTGTTTAAAAAAAAAAGGTTATTTTCTTTATGAAATTAGGCGTACTATTCAGAAAGCCAGTCGGGCTGCATATGGCCCGCGGGCCGATGTTTACCTATAACTGTTCTATTGCAATATTTCCCTACCGGAGGATGGGTATTCGGCTAGTTGATTATAGAGATTTTCTCAGGTTTATCTTATTCAAATTCGTCTGATGCATTTGTTATTATAAAACAAAAGAGACTTGGCTCGTTTTTAGGCCCCCAGACTATGTGTGTGTATACATATGAAACATGTGTGGACACGCACGCATGCGCATGCAATGCTATAAGAATGTGAGACACTTTTATGCGCATCTATCCAAGCAGTTACTTCCCGTTACGTGTATATTAAACTCTTTCTCAGTTCCTGATTCATCAACAGCAACCAGTTCGGCTGCTTTTATAATCTTTTCTTCTCTTCCTTTCCGCTGTACGATCATGAACACGTGCGAAAGAGCAAAGGAAGTGGGCTTCATGCAAATGGTGTTCAATCGGAAGTGACGTAACTCAGAGTGACATTTTGCCAACATACATCGGCTCATTAGGCGGTAGTAAATTTCGTGCACATCTCTCGTTATTGCATTGCAACCGCTGGCAGCTTATTTTCTTTATCGCGCCATATTTTTTATATTTCCACCGATTTATCTTTCATTGTTTCGTTGGCTGCTTCATTAGTTTTTACGGCTTATCAACCATTTACAGGTTATTTAAAGCCAGGAAATATTTTTAGATTGTAAAAATTTTTTTGTGAGATAATAATGATTTAGTGATACAAGTCTAACTAATTAACCCCTGGATGGAGAAGAAATCGATTTATACCTTTCCCAGTGGTGTTTACGTGTAAAATGAATATGACGAACGCAACGGGAATTAAAACTTGGTTCTTTGATGAACAATTTCAAGCCTTTGTCCATTACACTAGCCGCACATTCAAGCTCACAGCACCCGCTATTCCCAAGCGGTCACCCATCTAGGTACTGACCAAGCTCGACGTTGCTTAATTTCAGTGATTATACTGGAATCGATGTTTCAAATTGATGTCGTCGCAAATCTTCAATGCCTCCATTTTGTAATACGATTATTGTTGACTTTTTTGCGCAACAGAAATGAAGTTGCCGTCGAACAGAAATGAAGTTATCTTCCAATAACCAACAATTACTATTCTTAAAAAATGCTCAATCCAATATATATATATATATATATATATATATAATTATTTATTTAAAATTAATAAAATAAATATATTTATGTTATAATTTAAAAATAACATAAATATATTTATGTTATAATTTTAAAATAAATAAATATATTTATGTTATAATAAATATATATATATATATATATATATATATATATATATATATATATATATGTAAAATCCCAATCCCACACACAACATACATACATTGTTTTATTTCTCCTTAAGAAGAAGAATATTTTCTCCGAAAGTCCAGGAAAATTTGCATTACTACTACACAGAAAAGACAAGGGTTAAACATACGGAAAAAATTAATTCCTTTAAATAATATATGGAATTAACCACTCTTCGCCTGATGAAGAACGCAAGACCCGAAACCCTTGTAGCAAAACTATGGAAAATAAAGTATAATATATAATGAAAAAATCCACATTATAACCAAATACGATTAGGGCTTCTTTCTTCTTTTAACACACACACACACACACACACACACACACACACACACACACACACACACACACACACACACACACACACATATATATATATATATATATATATATATATATATATATATATGTTAAAGAGAAGAAAGAAGCCACAAACGTATTTGTTTATAATGTATATATATATATATATATATATATATATATTTTCTAGATATTTGTTGTAAACTTTTTGTTGCATAGCTACCTCTAGTCAGATTAAAAGCAGTGGCAATAATATTTTACATATAATTGACGGGTGTAAGGAAATAAGTGATGATATTTTATATTTTTGTTTATATATATATATATATATATATATATATATATATATATATATATATATATATATATATGTGTGTGTGTGTGTGTGTGTGGACTCTCCTGTCGTATTCGACGTATGAGGAACAAGCAGCTCAGCTCCTAGGAACCAACAGCCAGATACCAACACATATGATTTGATTATAGCGGTGAAGGCTTTGTGCGAATACAAAAACGTGTCACAAGGTCCCCAAACGACCATCAGTATGTTTTGAATTCAGAGTTGTCCTTCTCCTAGACCATTTGCCATCCAGTCTATAGAGCCCAGTCTGCCTTACTTTTTACCCATAGCTGGAGGGAGAAGAAGAGGATTAATACCTTTTACAAGGTTATTAGCACGTAAGTGAATGTAACGGATTTGACTGGAATTTGAACTCAGCTCTCTAATTCCTCAATCCAAGCCGCTATCAACTCCATATATATATATGGACCGATTTTAAATGTGAATTAAGTTTAAGCGTCTAATGATTTTTTTTTCTTTTTCTTCAGATTTAACAACTTAAGTCTTTGACAATTTCAACAATGGAAAGATTAACAATCAAACAATGTGTTAAAGTCATCGAAGTCTATTACGAAAATGGACGTTCAAACAGAAATACATTTCGCGCACTTCGACCAACCGAGAGTGCAATTGAAAAAATTGTAACTTCAAACAAACTGGTTCGGTGGTAGATTGCGTGCACGTTTACGCCGTTCAGCTGAAAACATTGCTGAGAATGTGACCAAAAATCCAGACCCCTCTATTCGTCATCGCGCGCAGCAACTGAACCTCTCCACAACGTTACATCGAATTTTGGCTAAAGATTTGTCTCTACACGCTTACAAAATTCAATTGACACAAGAACTGAAACCTGCTGACCATTTGGAGCGCCGTACATTCGTTAATTGGGTGCATGAGCAAAGACAAGCCGATGAAGATTTTTCGCAAAAAAAAAAAAAAAAAAAATCCTCTTTAGTGATGAAGCCCATTTTCATCTTGGTGGATTCGTTGATAAGCAGAATTGTCGCATTTTGGCTGATGAAAATCCAAGGAAGATTCTTGAAATGCCACAAAAGGTCACTGTTTGATGTGCATTTTTTGCTAGCGGAATCATTGGGCCATATATTTATAAATTTGAACGTCCATTTTCGTAATAGGCTTCGATAATTTTAACATGTTGTTTGATTGTTAATTTTCCATGGTTGAAATTGCCAAAGTCCTAAGCTGTTAAATCTAAAAGAAAAATAAATCATTAGACGCTTAAAATTAATTCACATTTAAAATCAGTTCAAGTAATTGGAACACCTATATATATATATATATATATATATATATATATATATATATATATATATATATATATAACAGAGTAACAAGTCGCGAAAAAGACACTAGTATGCATGATATTAAATTTTAGGAATTGTGTGTGTGATACACGCGCATGTGTGTGTTTGTGTTTTTGTGTGTATGCGCGAAAGCCCAGTTTCTAAGGGAAAAGATATCTCCATGCCCGGGAACAAGGTCTCGGTTGTGTTGAAACTAAAGTATAATTGGAAGGTAAAGACAGATAAGTGGATAAAGACTGTAAGTGCCCCGTTTTTATAGATGCTTAACAGCGCCACCATGACTGGACAAACTGGCAAATCTATGTGGGTATAACCTACACTTTCTCTGTATTTATGGGAGTTAAAAGAGAAGATCAGTAATACTCTGGAAGTGAAATGGCAAATATAAAGAAATGCATTTAAATATAAATTTGTATCTAGGAGGGTAGGATTTAAAAGTAATGTATAGCTGGCCACTTGTATTCGAGGATCTCCGTCTACTAGGGCGGCTAGCCAATCCCTATTGCAGACGCTTGCTCGGGCATATGTTGTGTTTATTCAACACCCATAGAGCCCACCTGTGATTTATATGTGTGTTATCTAACGTGATCAACAGTTTGAACAAGGCCAGCGCACTTAAGCCCATCGGTCATCAAAATGACTTGAAGAAAGCAATCTAAAAACAACAATGGAGAAGAGAGGTAACAATGCGTAAACGAAATAGCTTCAGTTTGTTCAACTTAGGAAACTTAGCCTTGCACCCAAAGTATTCTAAAATACTGCCAATAACAAAGAAAATGAAAAATACCTCACAACAAATCGAATATAGCATCATAATTTATATTATTTTTATTTATTTGTTATATAACTAAATACATAATTGTCAACAATATTTCCATACAACTTAGTATTTCCTGTAATAAATTCTTAATAAATACTATTATTGTTATTATTTTACTTAAGCGTCAGGTAATCCTGCATTTACAATTCCGATGAAAAGAAATGTTGATCAAAACTGCCTAAAAACCTTTAAGCGCATATTGCCGCAAAATTATCAAATGTTGAATACGACCCCCCCCTCCACTGAACGCGTCGTAGTCTAGCCGACTTCATTTAGTTTCTTCTTTTTATTTATGTTTATATATTTTTTTAAACGGGTAATTCTTAGCTACGTGCACATCCGGGTAGTCGAGGAGTATCAAGCTCCATTCAAATGTGCGCGTAGTGTAATGGTTAACGAATCGGGAAGAGAAGACAGCAAGACAAGTTCGAACTCATTATGTCCAATTTCATGCAAATGCCATTAAGAAAAATATCGATCCATCTATTTTCCCCTCTTTCAGCTGTGGACTGAATAGCAGCGTAGATTGTTCTCTCTAGCCTTGTTTTGAAAGCAGTCTTTGAGAAAGAAAATTTTGAGTTCAAAACTAACTTCAGTAGTGATCGGCAAGTTCAGGCTATCATACGGCAGACACACCCCTTCCGTTATAGCTGCAGTTCATATTGTGCCTCTACGAATCTAGTGGGTCAGTGACGTGATGCGATTGCTCAGCTAAATCGCAAAATTCGCACAAATTTGTTGTTTTAGATTTACTTCTTTCAATGGATTTACAGAAAAACCTCGGTTCTCGAACGTCTCACATGTCGAGCAAGTCGGTTTTCAAACAGAAAATTCGAGATGAATATCCCTCGGTTATCGAACAAAATTTCGGTTCTTGAACAACATTGCCGAACCGTTTTAACTAGAACGGAATAATTTCTGAGTCGACCGCCGTGTTGCATACATTCGTGTGTCGTGCTCTGCTTTTCTTTTCCACTTTTATTGTACTGTGACATTTTTTTCTTTACATTGATTCCTATTGGAAGTATAGTTTCAGTTTACGAACATTTCGGGTTACAAACAGCTTTTAAATTCGTGAACCGAGGTTCTACTGTATATGTTTTTATAGAGAAGTTTTTAATAAGAAATAAACAACTTATTGAGAGTAGATATTGGCAAGGAATGTTAGTTAATTTTTTTCATGCATAGAACGTGAGTATCGCAGATTTTATGAGACTACAATTATACAAACTGTAACTGGTATGGCACTTAACCATTATACTTTAACCTTAAAGACGAACAATTTCGAGGTACCGGTTTATACTATTACATGAGCAAAGTGGCTTTGTGGGGTACCATATGGTATCAGTAATCAGGTAAATAAATAACTACCGATAAATAAAATATCAAAAAATGTGTATCGCCAGTACCTCAAGCAGGAAGACTAATCGATGTAATTCAGATTTTTGCATTTAGCTGAAATCGAACTCTGAAACGAAGCTCCCGATTGGTGTACAATGAAGAGACTTGAAGAACACAATTCCTGTACAATGAATAGACCCGAAAAACAGAGTTCCCGATTGGTATACAATAAAGAGGCCCGAAGCCTCTTTATTGTATACCAATCGTAATCAGTTCCCTATTAGTCTACAATGGCTACACCCGAACATAGTTAACGATTGTTGGTGGTGGTCGGAACCCGTTCACATTCGTGCATCGGAATCGTCATCCTCTCTCCCTATTTCTTTTCTCTCTCATGGTAGGCGGCGGTGGTGGTGGTGGGTTTGACGAGGACATTCGCGTTAATTTGATTTTGGTGGACAACTCTGCGCGACTGAGAAGCCCACACACTTGACCCAGAAGCGCCTCCCTCGAGACTCAAAAGGGGATTGTGACAACCGAGAGCCACAGTAGTGG